CTGGATAGAAATTTCGCGCCGATGAAGAGGTAATCGCCGAAACTGAAGCCTATTTTGAGGCTAATGATAAATTGTATTATAAAAATGGTATCGAAAAATTGTATGACCGCTATAATCGTTGTATCGCCCTTGAAAGGAACTGTATTCAATAACAAAATCAAATTCTGTCAAAAACATAAATTTCTTCTATGCTAGCCTACGAACTTTTCAGCCCGCCTGTTATTTTATATTAGTAAAAACGTCAATAAATGATACCTATCAGCTTTCTCCGAAAATTACTACGTTAGTATCAACAAAGTGCTGAAGTTCTCCAAAATTAAATTTTATTCCTGATCTTGCTTCTTATTAAAATAATAAGCGTCTAGAAATCGCTCTAATAATGAAATATTCGGTTACAATATTATGCGATATATGTATACAAGTCTGTTTTTATCACTTATAATGTATAATCAAATAATTAGCTGCCCTGTATATACGGCGAAACATTAATAAAATTCTAACGGCACAAAAAAGGTCTCAAGTTTCTGATTTCTTTTTTCTGCTGTTTAGCAAATTACTACGCTATCAAAAAAAAATTCATTAACTCCTCGAAAAACAACCCTTCCCGGTTTTCCTTCACTCGTCCCCATGCCGCTGCCGTGCCGTGTCGTTGCCTTCCTTTCGTCCGTCTACCCGCACTTCAAGCCGATTTAAATATCATTTGAATAAATCGCTTGTTTCAACCCTCTGCATGGAGAACGAGCAAAAAGCTTAACACAGACTACACGGTACCTTACGTTGGTAGTATGTAGAAACGCAGCAAGCCCATACTCGTCACGGATGTTATACGGACGAGTATTATAATATGTCTCAGCGGACAGAACGTCTTAATTATAACGAAGCTTTTTGATAAATCGACCCAGACAGGGAAGGTCACGGTCATAACCATACGTAAAGCGCGCTCTTCGAGCACATTGTGGGTCTGTACTAATCAACCGACCGAAAGGGATTAATAGTGGACGATATGTTAAAAGTTGAGCTTTAATACTTTCGAAAATAACTTTTCATTTTGTATATGTATACATACCTATAATAAAGACAGCATGAAGACTATTTCTCATCGTTCTAAAAGGCAATAAATAATAACACTTAAGTAAGTTTTGTGCATATTTGCAACCACAAGAATGTTGTTGGTATCTTCAGGAAATTGGGCAAGGGCGTAAAGTCCTGTTATAAACCCGAGATAAAAACGTTCAGTCTCTCAGACTCTAAAATCGAGACTCAAGTCTCCATCTCTCATCGAGTCTCTCTGGTGTCGTTGAGAGAGACTGTCGAGAGATTGTCAAAAAAACTGTTTAGCGTCTCTTAACGAGAGACTCGAGTCGCTCACAGAGAGATCCTCATTTCGTATCCAGTCTCTGAACGAGAGACTCGAATCTCTGAACAAGAGACTCGAATCTCTCAATAAGTGGTGTCTCGATAGACATGGTTAAAATTTTCCAAGTTCAATATATTTCAGAGATCCCAGTCTTTCTACGAGAGACTTGAGTCTCTCAATTGTTCAGTTTTATTCATTCAGTCTCTCTGTGAAAGACTCGAATCTCTAAATTAACGATTTTATCGTTCGAGTCACTCATACAGAGACTGAGAGATCCATAAAAACACCTAGGCAATAACTGAGAGACTGTGAAAGACTGTGAGAGACGCTCTCAGAGACGCTGAAAAACTGTGAAAGACTCTGACAGACTGGAGAGAGACTGAAAATTTTTGTCTAGGGAAGTCAACTGTAATTATATAGGGTGCGACTATTCGACCAACAGCCTTTGTTGCGTTGGCTAGTTATATACAAGATGGTTGCTTTTCAGAAATTTTTATCAGAACAGAATTCTTGGCATTTTTGCGTATCAAATCTGTACCCACCTTTTAAGTCTCATGGAAGCTAAAGCCTCCCAGCAGTCACGTAGTCAGCGCCTCTAGTAATAGTTTCCAGTTATAAAATTGCTGGTAGCATTTTTTTTTACCAAACTCATTGCCTAATTTCACTGGATATATTCCTTTCGGGGAATAACCTAATATGCTTCTTATACTGTTGTTGGTTACTATACAACTTATCTTTTCTTTATCTTTAATAGTATAATGAATATTAGCAAATAAACGGGTTGAAATGATGGCCGTCATAATTCATTATCTAGTAAATTTTTCTGTTTCTGTTAGGTACCTACGACTATAATTAGAATTAAGAATGTAAGATGTACCTAAATATTTTTTTTTCAAAATTTTCCTGTATTTAAATTTACATTTATTTTGCTTAATCTTCTTAAATAATTTGAACAAATTATACCTATAGTAAAACATCGCCTGTCTCGGCAAAGGAATATTAATATTAACACCAGTTTAAACAGTCCAGTGCAATAGAATTGGGCATTTCTTTTTTGTTAATTAGATATTTACAGAAATTTTTTATTATCGCGAGTGTTCGTCAACGTGAAAATTAGAAATTCGGAAAAATTGTTTAAAGTGTGTGTTTGGAGTACGGCCCTGTATGGGTGCGGCAGAAAATAAAATGGTAGAACCGTTTTATAGTACCGTGAAATAGAAAAGGTGAAAAATGAAGACCTATTGACACAAACAGGAGACCAAAGGTCATTACGGAAGGGCTACTATACTAGATATATTAGAAGCGGAAACAGAAGTGCAGAGGGGTAGAGAAAATTACTGTTCGTAAACAGTTACGGATGTGTCATTCCAGTTTTCGGGAATGGAAATGTCAAGTCAATTATCTGACTGATAATATAATCGTATGACGATGATAGTATACAAAATAATGAATTTCTTAAACACTAAAATAGTTATGATGATAACTAGATCCAAAAGTTTTCCTTTTCTTACCGCTTATATGTATAAATATTAAAGCAACCAGTTTTGGTTAAGAAGTATATGTGGATTGTAAGATGAGCCAGACTGTTCCAGTTAGTATTAAAGGCGGCATTTCGTAATGAAGAGTTTCTTTATAAAACGTTGCAGTATTTTATTCGTGAAATTCCAACGTGTAGGTACTTTTGGATTTCCTTGTCAGTTGAGTATAGGTTTGAAAGCATTTATTGTGCTCTCGGAATTTTTAAGATAAGTAGTGCGTAATTCACAAATTGGTAAGTAATAAATCATCAAAAAGTGCTTTTAGGTATTGTATGTTTATGAAATCTTCTGTATAAAGACTATTACGGGTCTCGGGCACCTATGAAACTACAAAAGTAGCGCGTAAAAAAGGCCAAGAAGGGCTCCTACCGGTCCAGGTCCTTTTATTTGTCCAGTAAAACTGGCAATATCATTTCCACAAAAGTGAAAATTCTCGCTAGTAATTAATTACAAATAAAACCTTGGCCCACTTACAATAGCCATTTATTTAAAAGAAAAATAAATAAAACGGTTAGGTATATTAAATGTTAGTAGCCCCTCTATTTTCGTCAGACATGATTACGAAAAAGCTGCAATCATGTGAACAGGTAAGTACAGAAATAAACCGCTCTAAGTAAATAGGTGTTTAACAGCACCAGCTGACATTGCCAATTTTTTAAACTACCTGACTATTGCATACGCATGTTCAGAAAAAAGTCCATGGAGAACTAGCAAAACATAGCTTAAAGCTGTTTTGTAATGGAAATGTTGTACACATAGATATACGTATACACAGTATATTACGTATGTATGTACAGCCGATATATGCTGAGTAGGAGCTGAGTATTGGTCAAGCGCGTAACTATTACACTTATATTACTGAACTGGGCCGCACGAAGCAGTTCTGCGTACTGTTTTCGGAGCGAGCACCACTCCTGTCTACACTCCTGCTATACTTCGTTTAGTTTCTGTAGCGATGTGAGCTTCAGTTTAACCGGCGCAAAGTAGAAATGAATAGCACTAGACCAGAAAAGGAAGGAGACAACTCTCGGTCAAACTCTTAACCGGTGAGGAGCGTATAATCCGTACAGTACTGCACGGAAAAATTGGACCATTTTATCCACTACAATTGCATTGCTCAAATGTGCTGTTATTGGTACCATTTACTACTNAAACAATTTGTCGTGATCACCGGCTGGGACTGGCGAAATAACTGCAACGTGTGTGGTCTTCTCCGTTGGAATAAAGGTGGATACCCATGGTGGATACCAGTCAGTTATTGTAAAATTGGTTTTATTCTACTACGGGGGATGAAACACATGATATCGAAAAACCGTGGGTATGCTGAGATATTAAGATAGATACGATTGACAAAAATGAGGGACGGCAATTCTTCTGTTGTTTCCTTTTTTCCTTTCTGATTTGAAATCATTATTTTCTTCATTTGCCAATTTAATTAAATACTTCGGTATCACTTTTGTCATCTAAGGGTGATCATTTATATGAAATATTTTCTTTTCTTCTTAAATCTATTTTGAATCCCTCCGCAACTATTTCGAATAGACACTGTCTGAAGTTTGAGAATTTTGGAAGACATTTTGTATGTATCTTGCTTGTTTCCGTTCGTTGTTTCGTTCACATGGAATCATATTTTGAATTAAACATGTGCTTCAAATGTTTCCTTGTTTATAAGGGTCCCTGCTACGTCTCACGTATGTGATACGCGTAAACATTCGGTTAACAAGAGAACCTTAGCGGGTTATATTAACGAGCCGTTTCGGTTGCAAAGTGCATATACATACAAATAAGTACCCGAAGCTAGAGATTAGTAAATGCTGCGAGAATTATGAACAGTTGGGTGCTGAAATAAGGGTAGGAGGTTGAGGTTTTTAGAGCAATCGGAGGTGACAGAGAAAGAGAGAGAATTATGCATCCCACCAAATCGCTTATGAAGTAAAGAAAGACAGAGAAAGAGAGCGAGTAGAGCAGAACCGTGCGTGCGCTCAGCATTCACTGATGTTTGAAACGCTGACAGCTTGCCAGCATTATTACAAGCGCGTCCACCAATCAGCTTACAGTGCAAACTGAATGTCGAGGGAGCGTATACCGTCCCGTCCCTCAGCCGCCCGCGTTTCGCGCGTTTTGACATATCGGACCATCACACACACTCACACTATTATTTCGTGTTTCTTAGAAACGAGCCGCGTGTGACACAACCGGCACTAAACACCGATCGACCTAGCATCAAACACTGCCGTTTGAATTCCGCGCTCGTAATATCGTGCAGTAGCGATTCACGTGGCGCGCGACAACAACGCGAGTGCGTGAAGTGTGCGTGACCTATTGTTCGTATATATGTATGATGTAACTGTGATGAGTGCCACCAGTGATCATTGCGCACCTGATTGAGCGAAAGGTAAATTTTTTGGTGAATGCGTGAGACATGGTGTGTGGTCCCGGAGACACCATTAAAGAATTTCATTCCTGTTAATTGACACGTTAAAGCTTGTGTAATGGGTGAGAGGAGGCCTCTGTTGCTGCTGCTGCTGTTGCTGCCTTCGACACGCTTAACGCGGCGATTATTCTGGCCTGATGGGGAGCTTATATAATTCCAAAACCAGTTCTTTGCCTTTTTAGAATGCTGATCGGGTTTTGATATCGATATTTCGATCATTGTTGGGAGGCGAATTCGCCGAACCAATACCAATCTAATTGATGCGTTTTCAATTGCACCAAATTAATAATTTCGTTTGCTATTCGATAATGACGCGGTTGTAGCGAGTTGGGAAGTCCTGCGGCTTTCCATGCGTGGTCGTCACGTTCCAGATAGTTGGTCCACATGACTTACGACGAAAAATTGCAACAGCGTTGCAATTAAAGTTGTATAATTACAATTATTTTATTTACTGTTTACTACCACGAATTCATTATAAAAAAGGTATTAATCAGGCGACAGTTAGGTACGCCGCTATTGGTACCTATACTGACTGGCATTCCTAGAAGATTATTTTCTGCAAGGATAATAATCACAATTTTATCTGCAATCATTCAGAAAAGTACATAACGCATCAAATCATTCAGTGGGTGCAAAGCTTTGAAGAGACGTGTAAATGTAACGACGGAATGGTTAGATACAAGTTCTGATGAGATTTTTAACAAATCTCTTTGAAATTTATTCATTTCAAGTTCAGTAATCATATTGACTTTACCAAATGGTTAATATAATGGAAATAAGAAAGCAAAGAGCAAAAAAGAGAATAGCTAATTTTGTCTCACATAGCGTCAAATTGTTTGAGCACTTCAACAATATAAAATTTGATTTTGATATAATAAAATTCAAAACAAGACTTGTTTTTCCCGTTCCATTGCTGCTTCATCGTGACATGTACGATTATCGACTTAGCTGCCTTGATTTAGTGTTGCTATTAGAATCCTTGAAAAAATGTTAGGGTTTGTAAATTGCTAAATATTTGAAGGTGGGAATATACTAGTTTTTTTATTTTTGGTGTTGTTTTGTCCTACCTATGACTACTTTAATGTATCGATATGGATGCCTTTCTGTCTGTTTCAATAAAATTGTATCACACCAAAAAACGGCAACATCCCTTTTATATAAAAAAAACTTGATTCTCCCTATTTCAGTTTTAAGCAGTTCTCCATGTTTCCTCTTTCTGCTGCTCCAGTGAATATATATCATACTTTTACTTCAAATTAGAGGAGGCCCGTATCTATCATGAATTAACTTCTTTATTGTCAATTCAATCTTCTTCTTCCACCTTCGTTCCTTGGTTGGCATTCATCAAGGCTATTTGTCTATTAATTGGTATTTGTCCCCTCTCATAATGTGTCCCAGGTAGAGCAGTTTCCTCTTTTTAATAGTCAGGATAATTTCCGTTTCCTTCTTCATACGTCTTAACACCTCGACATTGGTGATTCTCTGTACCCTTGAAATTCGTAATATTCTACGATATAACCAGAGCTCAATAGCCTCTATTTTTCTGATATCGTTCTTCTTTAGTGTCCATGATTCCAATCCATAGTATAGCACTGATAGAACATAGCATCTCATAATTCAATAGTTATTGCAAAGGGGTCGTAGTTAGTACTAAAATTTAAGCAATTTATGCCATTATTTAGTCGTTATAAACAGTTATTTAATATATTGGTATTTTGATCATACATTTAATACATGCTAGGTACAACTTAAACTTCGTCATAAACTCAGAGTGAGGTGTTATTCTCTGTATTATCTGAACTACACATTTACTGTTGTTTCGCTGATTGTGAGAGGGTTTTCTGTGGTATCATATCCTATGGGAAGAAATTCACTTCGGAAGTTTTTATATACCAAGAACGTAGCCAATGGCGATCTTTTCGCAGAAGTCTAAATATATAACTGTGCTAGATACGCGTAAGATAACTTAGATTTATATTTATTAAGATTAAGACATTCACGGATTTTTTTAGTAAATATTTGTTTTACATCAGGCATCGGTTGCTACAAGTTAATTATTTCTACTATTTTCTATTTTGGGTTTGTCAGTATATGTATACTCGTGCAACCGAGCGGCATGGCCTAGAGGTTTAGACCATTGCTTAGCATTCGGAAGGAGGCCGGTTAGATTCCGGGTCCGTCTGCCTTAGTCCAAGTTTTTCTGTGGTTTCCTTGGATCACTTAAGCAAATGCTGGGGCAGTAATATTCCACAGATAATCTTTCATTCTCTTCTGTCTTCATTTCGTCCGTCTCATCTTTCTCACCCGAACCACCACCCACCCATTCCCACGATTCCTGAAAGCAGGCTGAAGAGGGCCTTCCGCCCTACCTTCCGGC